AAACTTCTTCAAGGTCAAAAAGGTATCCTTTGTCTAAATTGCGTTTGAAAATTTTCAAATCTTTTTTCTTCTTTCATTTTCCGAGATTCAAAAAATGCGCTCTCTATAACATACTCAAGCGCGCTATAGCATTTTCAATCACGTAGAACGTTTTGACCCATTTCTATCTTTTCCGCTCCATTACATTTAACCGATATGCGAATCTTCTCATTTCATTTAAGAAATAAATTAGCACAAATTTCTTGCTTTCGAGGGGGTAAAGGGATGTGAGGAAAACGAAAAATTTTTGCGAGTTGTACCATTTATAATGTTAATAATACTGTTTTTTATGTGCATTTTCTCATAACTAATAAAACAATCATCCTCTTGTACTAAGAACTTTGCTGCAAAGCCCTCTGATCTCGTCATATTAACCTAGGCTGCGGTATGGATTCTAGCCAACTTATTGAACAAGTCTGATACAAACATTTTTCCGACATATTAGGATAACTTGAATCGATGAACTTGCTTTCCGTAACACAAAACCCAATAATCTTTGCAATTTTATGGTACATTCTTAGATAACGCATAAGAATTATTTTCACCCTATTTTACCTCATAGACATTTTTTACGATTTTTTTTGAATTTTGCATCATAAATTTAAAATTTCAAAAACATGAGTATTGTTAGATTTCGTGTTCAGGCATCAAGATCCATGAGGTAATCAAGCTCTCATCGGATCCTAATAACATCAAGCCAGATATCAAAAGAGCCAATATAAAGTCTCTTACAGTGCACCTACAGGTAATTTACTCCCTAACCCAGATGAGATATTAGCTATCAATTAATAACTGTTCTATTTTCTCTACAATTTCCTCATAATTTTTTCAACATTCATAATTTTTATTCCTCACATATTATTATTATCTGTTGATTAAAAGAATTTAGGGTGCCTTACGCTTTCACCGACGGTTACATAAAAAGCAAATCCGCCCACATCGCTTTCTTTGGCTGTTCAATTTGGCCTACTCAGCATTTTTTGTCACTTCAGTATACTTATTTACGAAATTCTTCTATCTAGCCAATGTGTGCCTGCAGCTCTTACTCATGAACAAGTAAGTTTTAGAACTTCGATGCTATTGAAATTTGGAATAACAGGTCAAACGCTTGCTAAAGTATGTTCAAAAAATGCTGTAATGGTCCACGTTCATACAGAAAATTAAGTACTGCTGAAAAAATTTCTGCAGGCGTATATTACAATGGACAGGGTGGCGTAGAGACTTGTCGTTCGTCACAAAAGTCAAAGAGTTGATTCTTTTCCACGCTATATCATTACTTAGTCTCT